TTATGGAATTTCTGAGGAAGGAAGTCTTCTCCTGGCTCTTGGAGGCCTTATTTTCCTCCTAACTTCCCTGGAGCTCCCTTGAAGACACACCAGGCCAACAAGGAGAAGGTGGCCCAGGAGGAGGAAGTTTCCTCTCTCTTTGATTAAGGCTGCCTTTCAAACCCTTGATTCTTGTCCTTGTATGATTGACATTGAGATTGAAGACCCCACTCTCCCTTCAGCCAAAAAAGGGTTATGAAACCCTTTGGTCCCCAGAGAAAAAGAAACATCAGAATGGAAGAGTCCCATGATTGAAGAAGACAGTCATTCATGGTTTTTGATTTAGGGTTAGCTTAAGATCAAGGGTGATGAGTGAGGTAAGGTTAAATAGCATGGAGGGGAAGTTAAAACAACTTATTTTCTGATGTATTTTATTGTGTGTGTGAAGCAGAATTCTAGGACTATGGCTCAGATGGTGTGGGAGACAGTGGGCCAACTGGGAGAGTTTGGAGAATGGAAATTGGAGCCAATTAGAAAAGGGTAAAATAGTGCCTCGGAACACCAAAGGTCCCACTGAACACATAAATTATACACTCATTCAGTCAACATGGCCATAGGATTTATTTTTCTCTCTCGCAGAGTGGCAGCCTGGGTTGTATGGTTGGATGTATGCAAAGCTGTAGATTCAAGATGGGCAGAGTAGAAGGACACAGAAGTGAAGGGCCTAGAGTGCTGATGCGAATGTGGTTGAAAGTCTTGGTCCTGAGGCCCAAGGAAAGGAATGAAAACATAGACTAATGGACCAAGAGAGTGGGAGGGAGTGGAGGAAGCCCATGTTTTGCTAAGGCTGGCAGGCAGGGAAATAAAGGAGAGAGACTGCTGGAAGGGCAGAGTTTTTGGCTAGACAATGGGTTTCTGAGTTTTAGAGTTCAGAGATGGAATAGTTCTGGGATGGGGAGGTGGGCATGGGTAGATGAAGGGGAGTAAGTTGGAAGCCATACATCACACACTGGGATGCTGAAAATGATATGGTCATCAGATTTCTTAAACTCATTAAAATAAAGCTATCCTTGGAAATCATTTTGACAAGACCCCAAAATAGGCAAAACGTGGAAGGCATTGGCTACACTTTGCTCATCATACTATTAGGAGGTGGGATAGGGAAAAAATAGGCCTCTCTGTAGACTTATAAAGAACAATACAGGGAGACTTCACTTTGTGGGTGTCCTTCTCTTAAGAGAATGAACTAACACAATAGCTAATTTTATATTCCAGATTTTTGGCTTCTCGGAAAAAATAAGATTATCCTGGCAGCATTGGGCCAGGATTCCCTTGTGGCAACAGTAAGATTGCTTACCAGGTAATCTGAGTCCCTATCACTCCATATCGCTGCCCCACACCTGGCTGGTGTTATTTATCATTAAGCTCACACTATCTTCCTTAGAGTTAGGAGGAAAGAGAAATATTTCTTATATCCAAGGGTCTTTTAAGACTAGAAAAACAAAGATGAGTCAGGAAGAGTATTCCTCTGTTCTCGATATGCAAACATGTCACTGCTGCAAAATTATAAATTACGATGTTATTATGAAACACATCCTTCTAGCTTTACTCATTACATTATCCACCTGGCTTCTTATGGGCATTTCAGTTTGCAGTGAGTCTTGTAAGAGAATAACAATAGAAATACATTCAAAGACATGCAAGCTTACAAAAGTAGCATGAGGAGCAATGGTAAGTTTTGCTTTATTTTATTTTATTTTTTTAAAGATTTTATTATTTACTTGACAGACAGAGATCACAAGTAGGAAGAGAGGCAGGCAGAGAGAGAGGAGGGGAAGCAGGCTCCCCGCTGAGCAGAGAGCCTGATGCAGGGCTCGATCCCAGGACCCTGGGACCATGACCTGAGCCGAAGGCAAAGGCTTTATCCCACTGAGCCACCCAGGCACCCCTATTTTTTTTTTAAAGATTTTATTTATTTACTTGACAGAGAGACTGAGAGAGCACAAGGAGGAGAACAGTAGAGTGAGAGGGAGAAGCAGGCTCCCCACTGAGCAGGGAGCCCGATGTGGGGCTCGATCCCAGGACTCTGGGACCATGACCCGAGCCAAAAGCAGACGCTTAGCCATCTGAGCCACACTGTTGCCCCAGCAATGGCAATTTTTAGAACAAATAATATTGTTACTTTTGTTGATGGGATAATCTTATCAAATTCTCAGTAATTAATGGATTCCCTCAAAGTGCTGCCCAGCTCAATAGCTACTGAGGAAGATTTAATGAATTGTTCCTCAGTGTTCCTCACAGGCGGGAATGTGTCGGTGTAATTCCCTGAGTGCCCAGCTTCTTGGCAGCCATATCTACTTGTAAAAGGTGGAGCCAAGGAAAATGGGTGAAGGATCTTTAGTGTCAGAGGAGAAGAAGAGTATGAAAATGAAAGCTTTTGGCAGGTCTAACTTGCCTCTTTGGGGCTTAGGAAGAACGGCAGTTGCTACATATCTTTCATTTAGGATCATGATAAAATAAACATAATCCAAGCCTTAGGAGCACACTAGACTAAAATCAACGTCTTAGATTAACTCAGGAGGCAAATGGGTAGCCAGTGTGGACTGGTACGTTGATATAATCTGGTATTTCCTTAAGGCATTTTGCTCTTCTACTTTCTGCTCTACTTAAGCTTTCATATTAAGCATACAGAAAGCAGTCGAATATGAAGGCTTAGAAGTTGAACTGTGTCTTTGGCGAAATGCAGAAATAAACGAGATTGAGATTTGGGAAATGAAAATTTTTATAATACATTGAGGGGAAAAAATCTGAAGGCCAAGTGCTCAGTGAGTCAGAAAAATTTAGAGAGTTGTAACGTTAGAGCCTGCGAACTGGAAACTAGATATGAATTCATAACCTACAAGGGTATAAATGATGGCAAGAAGTCAGTAAACAGCGTCAGTGTTATTTTGGGAGGCTGAAGGAAGGTTATTATGGACCAGGGAGCCTGAGCAGCTTATGTTCTAGCCATCAAATTAAAGAGACAAACAGAAGACAGTTTGGTAAGGGTGACAATGATGATTAAAAGCTGAGATGGACTGAAATATGAAGAAAACTTAAATTAAGCTATGTATTGCTTTGTAAAGCAATGTATTGTGTAACCGGATAATGAGCGTTTAAAGGTATTTATTGACTTTAAACGTTACAGACAAATGACTCATGAACATCTAACCAAGTATATATTGATGTAGTAAATTGGAATGAGCACCAGGGAGTTATCCAGAATGAGCATTTTATTCGTGTCTTGCCTATCTCTTATTACCCCGCTCTGAACGTTTGTCTGAAGAAAGCATTAGAGAGAATTTGCTGAGGAATGACTATGATATTTTGGCTCTTATTTCTAACTCTAACTTCTATGAATTTTACAATGCAATGAAAACACTTCCACAAGATTTTGGCAAAATGTTTATAATTTCTTTAATAACACTGCTCATGGAACAGGAGAAATGGAAAGCAATCACTTGGTAACTGCAGAGAGATAAGCAGAAAGGAGGAGAAACAATTGCTTACTTTGCTGTTTTTGGTGAAAAAAAAAAAAAACCGAGTTTAGCTATTAAAAAGCCTGTTGGGAGCCGTGCAGCCTGTTGCTCCTTCCCATCACCATATAGGAGAAATGGTACCAGTAGTCTGGCTGTTGGTGTGTTGCAGAAGTACAGCTATAACATCAGCAGGCGTGTGACCAGCAGCTTGTGGGAGACAAGCACTTAGGGGGATAAAAAGGAACTGGCACAGGCCTTGGGCTTCTGGCATCTCTAGTTACAGGTCTGCCAAGATGCTTTGGGAAACGTTTTAATTTAAATGCCAAGTCTATTTCAACGAAGTCTCCCTGGTTTGACCTGCTGGGAGTCCAGAGTGAGACGAATAGGTACTCATTTTGGAGAGCATTGGGTGAATTAGATAGTGGTTTTACAAAATCCTGGAGGTTTAAATCTGTATTTGTCCCCCTACTCACGGGGGGAAACTCATGGTACGAGCTGCAAGATATAGGATGCTCATAGCATGTTGCTAGTGATTGGTAAATGCGGGAAAGGGCAGCGAGACCTTCAGGCAATTACTCAAAACATCAAAATTAGAGAATGTGAAGAATAAAGGCCCAGGATTTTTCCTTTCCTCCCCCTCAGCATATTCACTCACTGGCTACTCTGACTATAAATCTGATATAAAGCAGATTAAGAGCCTGATTTGAATTATTTGAATAATTTTTTTTGCAAAACTATCATGACAGAAAATTTTTTTTTGAACCAAAGCAAGAAAAAAAGAGAAGAGGATGGGACTGAATAAAATATTAAAACATTGTGGTCCATCGATGTGAAAATATTTGTGTTAGTGTGTAGGCCCAGATTGGCTGGAGATGAATAAAAGCTTTCCTGATGGGTTACAAAAACATGAATCCAGAAGATCAGAAGAATTAAAACGCCCCCAAGAATAACATGAAGGTATTTGAAGTTGCTTCAGAGGCAAGGGTGGGTATGTATATGTATGTAAAGTCCGTTTCCTCAGAGACTTGGCAGTTTGCTACAACATCATGCTTATGAAAGCAAAGTCTTTAAGTTCACCCCCCAGCAGACTATCCTTTGCTCCCTTCGGGAAGCGCATTCTCGGAAAAGGAAACACACTAGTTGGACAAGAACTGGGGTCCTGGAGAAGTGCTGGAAGCTAGAGCCAGGGAACCTTGGATGGGGAGATGGGAGGGGCCAGGCTGCGTGGGGCCTCGGGGACCACCCGGAGGAGTTGGCAGCCCATCTGGCTGGGGGGTGGGGGGCGGATGGAGATCCTGGGGAGATGTTTGTGCTGGGGAGCGGCAAGATCAGGTTGATTTTTTTTGGCAGGTCTCTCTACCTGAAGCATTAGGAGAGGAGAAGAAGGGAAAAGGACCAAGAGAATCGGGACTGGCTGTTGTGATCCTAGTAAGATCCTGCCCCCAAAGATAATCCTGACCTAAAGCCGAGACCCGCTGCGGGCTACTTGAGCCCGCGTCCCTGGCGGCGGGATCAGGAAGGACACTGGGAGGGAGGCAAGACGGTGATAAATCCCTGTAGGGCGATTCGGAGGGTACAGAACAGGCTCTGCTGAGGTCCTCTACTCTTCACCTCTCGCCGCCCTCCTCACCCAACCCCCTCCCCCCACCGCGCCCCGCCGGAGTTCCAGCATCCTTGCAACCAGTTGAATCAAATCCCAGCTTAGGAGCCCGGGGAACGGAATTGGTTTCTGAATGTGAAATAGGTCTGACCCACTGGGGAAGCCCAGAGAGGAACGTCCGGAGGGCCTTTACCCGAGCTGGGTGGGAGGCGAACGGGTCCCGCGCGCGAGCTGGCGGCAGGCAGCAAGGCGCAGAGGCCGAGCCCCCGAGCCCCAGATCTCCGCTCGGGGCCCCGCGGCCTGCTCGGTCGTTGCCCCTCCGGCGCCGGGCGGGTGATTGGCAGTTGCCGCAGCTTTAGGGGAACGCGGGTATCCAGGACCCGCGGCCGCTGCTGGTTGTCCGCTCGCTGGCAGCGACGTTCCCGCGGCTCCGTGACCGGGCCTCGGCGGGAGCAGCCACGACGGCGGCGACCTCGGGTGGGAGCCCGGGAGGCTCGCGGTGGGTCGGGGGCGGCTGGGGAGGGTCCCCGCGGCCTACAGTGGGCAGCGCCGAGCCGGGAGGAGACGGCCGCGGACAGGGGGCGGGGGTTCTGGGCTGCCCCCTTCAGGCGCTGCCCGGGGCCGCGCCGCCACTCTCACAGCCCGGCAGCCCCTGCCCGCTGTGCGCTTCCTCTCGGTGCGGCAGGCCGCAGGGCGACTTTGGGGGGGACGCGGCGGGGTTCGGCATGCGACGGCCCCTGGGGAGTTGGGGTCCGGAGAGACCCGGCTTCACCCCCCCGCCCGCCTAGGGCCGCGAGAGCCTCGGGAGGCACCTCGGCGAGGCCAGAGAGCGGCGGCCGTCCGCCGCTTCCCTTCTCCCTGAGCCCGAGGTGGGCACCCCCGCCCGGGGCTGGGCGCCGGGTTCCCGCGTGATGGGCGCACCGATCCCCGCGGGGGAGGGGTGCCCTGAGTCTCCTGGAAGAGCGCCCCGAGGCCCTGAGGCAGCCGCCTAGTTACCTCGGGGTGGGTGCCCCGTGGCCTGGTGGGCGCTCGGCCCGCGCGGGTTATTTTTGGCGCCCGCCGCGGCGCGTGTGCCGGGGCGTGTTTTCCTTTCCCAGGTACTGGGAGCCCTGGCCCCGCCGCCGCCGCCGCCGCCGGAGCTGACTTGTGTCTCTCTCTTCTCTTCCCCGCAGGAATCTTGCGATAATTCTGCCGCCACGACTTGAACCGTGTGCGACGCGAGCTTGAAACAAGCATCACATCTAAATTTAAAAAAAAAAAAAAAAAAAAAAAAAAGCGGAAGGAGCAAGCGGCCGAGGAGGCGGCGGCGGGAGGAGGAGAGGAGGAGGGGCCGCGCGCGGCGGCCCGAGGCGGCGGCGGGGACGCGGGGACGCGGGGACGCGGCTTTGTGCTGGCGGGTCGTGGGGCGCCCATGGCGGAGTGCGGCCGGGGGGGCGCCGCCGGCGGGGCCCTGCCCACCTCCCCGGGCCCGGCCCTCGGCTCCAAGGGCGCCCTGAAAGCTGGAGCCGGGGAAGGCGGCGGCGGCAGCAGCGGGGGAGGTCGCCTCGGCCACGGGCGGGCGCGCTATGACAGCGGCGGGGTTTCCAACGGAGACTGCAGCCTCGGCGTGTCCGGGGACGAAGCCCGAGCCAGCCCCGCCAGGGGACCCCGCGGCACTGCGCTCGCCCCGACCCCCGGTCCGGCCGCCTGCCCCCTCCCCCGGGAAAGCAAACCCGGCGGCCTGCCCCGCCGAAGCAGCATCATCAAGGTAGGTGGGAGAAGGGCTCTCATCGCCCACCCCCAGCCGCCCCTGGGGTCAGTTCCCAAGAGGGGAGTGGTGGTGGAAGGAGGAGGGTTGTAAGAGGAGTCCCCTGCTAAGGGGAACCACTGGTGCACGGGTGCTTGGGGTGCTGGAGCAGGCATTGGATGCAAATGGCATTTGGAAAGAATGGAGAGGTGATCCCTAATTAGTGCAGGGGGAGCTGTGCTCAGACATTCCCAGTTGAACTTGAGGCTGTCACCTCTCGCAGGACTGGCCTGGAATTATGGCCTGTACCTGGTTGGGCAAGACGTGCTTTTCTGTGGTAGCCTTGGCTGGTAACAGACTCCCTGTAAGGTGTCTATTGTATGTTAAAGACACTGGTTTTGTGAAAACATTTTCTTGAAAATCCAAGTGGTGAACAGAGCTTATTCAATAGGTTTCTTCTGATCTGTATCTAGTTGCCTCTAGCAAAATGGTTATACTTGGAGGGTACAAAATCCCTGGTCATTCAGTCACGCAGGGGAATGGAGTAGGTTTCTGAACATAAGTGAAGATTTCCGCTTTCTTAGGCTCAAAAGCACTGAGACATTACAGTTCTGCACAATTCAATCTTTTCCTTGCTGCAGTAGGCAGGCCTCCAGTTCTGTGGAAGTTCTTTTGAGCAATTTGCGGGTTTTGATATCTTTTGCATAGTGTTACTTAGCAGAAGAAAATCAGCAATTGTTTTGTGCATTTTAAACTCAAGAAATAATATTAGGAACTCCTCTGAGTTTGTGCTGGTTTCATTCTAATACTACATTTTTTAATGTAAAAATATTTCTCGTGACATGGAGTGAAAAAAACAAAACAAAACAGTTGATGAGCTAAGAAAAGCAGAGCCTTAGGCAAGAGTAGCTCATTCTGCTTAAGTTCAGAGCAAATATGAAAACATTGCTTTCTGAAAATCAAGGGGTTACCAGGACAGTGAGCAGCAAAGCACATTGACAGGGCTGCACCCACCCTTCCTGTGGCTGATAAACCGTGGGGGAGAGGGCAAAACAGGCCACAGTAAAGAGAATTGGCACTGGGGGTATTTGAAATTTAATTGGACCTGGAGAAATCTTCTAAGTACTTTGTAGTGTCTCATGGTGTTATCAGCTTCTGCAGTAATCTAGTGAAATATACCACCTTCCTACTCTCTGTAACAGGCAGTTGTGAAACTGCTTTTCGCTTTGTCATCTGTTTGTACAGTTTATGTCTGGGCAAGGGCACAAGTGAAGGGCTTAAAGATCAAGTGTATTAACTACCTGCAGTAGGCATTAAGAGTTTAAGGAAAATAACCTATTTTTGCTGCTTACGTGGCTTTTAAAAGGTGACATATTTTCTTTTACTTTGTAGCTTATGTTTCCGTGGAAGTTATTTCAGCTCTGCGTGATAATCAATCCTGTTAACAGAGTTATGTGTCATGTCTTTTTTTATTGGCTACCAGATACTTGTAGTGATACCGCATTGTGGTGTTAATGAAATTTGAGGTGAAAATTCCAGAGAAGATACCAGCCTACCTAATTTTAATTTTATTCCCCAATTTTATGGAGGGACTGTTTTTGCACTTTTTTTTTTTTTTAAATCAAGCTTTATTGGTGTCCATAGTGGGATCCACAGTGTAACTTATTTAATTAAAACAGCTGCTTTAATTTTATATTCAGAATGGAAAGAGGGATGATTTGCCAGTATTTCTGATATGTGGAATTGAGACCTTGTTGGTGGATTTCATTTCTTCATTGAAGATTCTAGGAGCACATGGGGAAATCATTAATTATTCAACAATCACTGGTTTTCGAATTTTGAAACCTTGAAAGGTATTTTTGTCATTTTTCTTTTTTCTAATGAAGGCAGGTGGTTTCTTGTTCAGGGTTGTATCCCTAGATACACATTGCCAGGAACATAGTGGGGGCTCCATAGATTGCTTCCTGAATGAATGGAGGCATGATAAGGAAGTACCTATTTTCTCTAAGTTCTGGTAATTTCTAAAATCGGTGGTTTGGTATTTACAAGTCTCATATCTTGTTCATTTTCTTATACCTCCTAAACTGACTTGATTTACTCCTTTTTCTTTCCTTTGTGTCAATGTGCATTTTCTTAAACACCTTTTGAAACTATGGAAATAGTGTTGATAGTTGGTCAAGCCTGGGTTATAGAAAGGGGTATGCTATATTTAAGTAGGTAACTAACTTGGTATATTTCCCTTTAAATTGGTGCCTTGAAAGATCAAGATTTTAGAAACTTGGTGGGGTATTTTCTACAGACATAACAGTATGAAGACAATATTCTGATAGAATAAAGAGATCTTTAATGTCAAATTTCATAAAGCAATGAATAGTGTACGTTTTGTCACATGAATGGCAGAAATTGTTTCACTTTTGTTAAAAAAATAGTAAAAAAAAAATCCCAAAAAACACTTAGCAGAAGCTCATGTGAAGAAACACTAATGACATCTTTCCCTGGTTTCTTTATGTTCTTTTCCAGTTAAAGGGATGAATTCAGTCAGGTGATGGAAAGATAGAGGTGGGAGTAGATGGGTAAGCAAGATGGTAATTGGGGGCTTGAGGGCATGGCAGGGAATTGTTAGCCAGTATTGACGGGGTTGCTTTAGTTGAAATGTCAGGCTTTTGAGCTATGCCTGTTTCCTAGCTTCTATTTTCATTACCATCTTGACATTCCTCTTAGGTGGGGATCCCCAAGTCAGAGGGAGAAATAACAGCTCATATATGATGAGCAGTGGGCCCAGAAAGGGGATTATTGCTGAGATGCAGGACATATGCAGAAATACACTGTGGGCTGACCAGAATTATACTTCTCATTTAAAATGATTTCTTTGGAACTCCATCTGTTTTGTAAATATGGTGTTGAGTAAGAAATTGTTGTAAAACTACATTTTCTGCCAAAATAGATGTACAGATCTGTACCAAAAGAGCTCCTTGGTTATGGTAACAGTGTTGATGAAAAATTCAGAGTGAGCAGCCCTATAGAATCTTTTACAAATACATTGAGAAGATAAATAAATCATGGAATTCATCATCAGCCTTCTTTACTTTTCCTTAGCTTATTGGAAATCATGTTACACTTTTTAGGTTATTTACAAAGGCCCATTACCAAATTTTGAGGGAAGGAGCTATTATGTTTGTCATCTTAAGTAATCTAGTAAACGAAAACATCACTTTCATTTTCTCTTTCATATTTCATTTCATCACATCATTCAGTACAATCCACGCTTTCTTTTGAAACATTTAATTTGCTTAATTATTTAGGTGACATCCATTTTTTACAAAGAGCTCAAGCCTTTAATTCAAAGACTTGGTCTAAAAATGTGAAGTAGCATTTTAGGTCTTACATTTCCTTCTAATTTTAGAAATAAATAGAGTTAAAATGCCCGTTATTTTAGGTGGTTTATTTGAATTAAAACTAATATGAGTACTGTGGTTGGTACTTTTAAAAAGGTGATATAATTTACATAAAGTAAAATTTGCTCTTGTTGCTGTCCAGTTCTATGAGATTTGGCAAACACATATTCATGTAACCACCACCACAATCAAAATATAGAACAGTCTATCACCCTCAAAAAAATTCTCCCAGTCCCTCTGTAGTCTTCCACTCTTCCCATGCTCAGACTGTGGCAATCATTGATCTTGGGTGCTTTTTTAATAAGAAACTATGGCTGTTACAGTATTTTGGTACTTAAAAGGTATTATAATAGGCTCTATTTACTAAATACTGTGTAGAAAACACATGAAAAGTGCTTAACATAATTCTGTGAGTGCCACAGAGAAGTGAACCACATGCCTAAGGGGCTAGAGCTGGTTTTTGTACCCCATTTTGGTATGACAGCACTCCACTGTCCCCCAAATTACTCTGGCCGTTTTAAGTTTTCTGTATCATTAAAGTAGCATGGGTGGTTTGGAATGCCGGATTTAATTTTTCCCTTTAAACTTAGAGGATACTGGAGGGAACCAAAGACTATTCCTGCTGGCAGAAGAAGTGGAGAGCTAATATAGCCGGGCAGCTGTAGTTCCCTGTCACGCTACGTCACCAGAGTCTCCAGCTTCATTGGAACAATGGTTTGGTCTTGCCCAAGGTAGCAGCCCTTACTTTTCTTAATACCATTATTGTTAATATCACAGTATCAAGTTGTGTAGGGGAAGCACTTTTACTGCCTTTATATCAACATATATCCCTAGATGCTGAGTGCCCCAAGGTGGGAAGAAGCAGACATTTGCATCTATTATCCATTTAAACAAAATTAAATTATATTTAAACAAAATAATAAAAATGTACATATGGATATTATATTGGCCTGTGGTTTAAATGAGTTAGACTCCTTGCAGGCAAAAGCTGGGCTGTATTTATCAGTTCTGCATGGATAACAGCCACTCAATAACCATTTCTTGAACTGGGTCTTAAAATAATATCTGCATTTGGCTTTAGATTTTTTTTTTTAAGTGGTGGGGGAGGGGGTGACAACTCCATGCCCAGCAAACTTGTGGGCATGTCACAAATAT